TTTACGAATCTCAAGACCAAAGTTCGATTCCTCTGGGTGTCAAAACTTTTTTGATTTTTGTGTGGACCAAGTTAAGACCGTTTTTGAGCATTTTTAAAGCTGAAATTTCGAAAAATCTGAAAATTTCAGTCGCCATTTTTTTTCGCACTTTTGCATTTTTTTTAGCCCAATTTGGCTATTTTTCCGCTAAATTTGATCCAATTAAAGGTAATTGACTCCAAAACTCAAAATCTTGCCCTCGCAAGAATCAACAGGCTTTCTGCACCCAGAGGAATCGAACTTTGGTGTTAAGATTTGTAAAAATTCAGTGCGAAAATCCACTAGGCCATCTGGACGCGAAATTTTAAAATTGTTGAAAATCGTGATTTTTGATGTTTTTAAGGGTTTTTGAGGGATTTTAAGCAGTTTGAGAGTGCTTAGAAGCTCTAAAAATGTTGAAATTCAGCATTTTTAAGATTCGAAAATTTGGGTTTAGTCACCAAAATTGAAAATAAAGGAACTTTTTCTTCGTTTTTATGTAAATCTACATCTTTACAGAATTCCTGGTCGCTGAGGAGTTGGATGAGAAGTGTGTGGACCGCTCGGAGAACTTGGACCGCAGCCATAACGCTGTACGGGTCGAGAACTTGACAGCGAGCTGGGATACAGAAGACACGCCGACACTGGAGCATCTGGAACTGACAGCTCCCCGCAACTCCCTCATAGCAGTTGTTGGAAAGGTGGGATGTGGAAAGTCCAGTCTCCTCCAGGCCCTTCTTGGAGAGATGGGAAAGCTGAAAGGACGAATCGGGGTTAATGGAAAGGTGGCGTATGTCCCACAACAGCCGTGGATTCAGAATATGACACTTCGGGATAATATCACTTTTGGAAGACCGTTCGATCGGAAGAGATATGATCAAGTGTTGTATGCGTGTGCCTTGAAGGCGGATATCAAGATCTTGCCAGGTGGGGATTTTGGATTTTTGGGGCATTCGGGGTAGGGTGGTGAGGGGAAATTTTCTAGAAAATTCCAGAAAAAAAACTCATTTTGAGCCGATTTTGAGCCGAGACGGCGCGCCAGCCACAATTCGCTAGGCAGTTTTCAACAATTGTAGAGTTTCTAAACACTGAAAAACAGCTTAAAACTCCCTAAAACTGCTTTAAACCCCTCAAAACCACCGAAAATCGCGATTTTCTACCATTTTGAAAATTCGCGTCCAGATGGCCTAGTGGATTTTTCCATTGAATTTCCTATGAATCTCAACACCAAAGTTCGATTCCTCCGGGTGGCAAAACTTTTTTGATTTTTGTGTGGACCACGGAAAATGCATTTTTAGCAGTTTTTGATGCTTGGAACCTCAAATTTTCAATTTTCAGCCGGAAAAAATCTGAAAATTCTGAAAAAATAGGTTCCAAGCATCCAAAAGCTGCTAAAAATGCATTTTCCGTGGTCCACACAAAAATCAAAAAAGTTTTGCCACCCGGAGGAATCGAACTTTGGTGTTGAGATTCATAGGAAATTCAATGGAAAAATCCACTAGGCCATCTGGACGCGAATTTTCAAAATGGTAGAAAATCTTGATTTGTGAGGTTTTTGAGGGGTTTAGAGCAGTTTTAAGCGCTTTTTCAGTGTTTTGGAGCTCAAAATACGCTATTTTAAACTCTTTTCAGCCAAAAATTTCAGCAAAAAAAATTCGAAAAATTGTTTTCTGTAGTTTTTTTGAAATTGATAATTTGCACTATTCTTATCAGTTATCACTAATTTTTGCACTATACTAATTTTATATTTGCCATTATAAAGTCTTGAAAACCAATTTTTTTTGAAAATCAATTTTTAATTTCCTGGAACTATTTCATAATT